GACTAGCAGCAAGGGCGCCACCCGGAAACTTGTTAGAAATCAAGGACTTGGGCACATGCTAGACCTGTTGAATTAGGAAGTATGAATATGAGCTGCAACATTCTGTATCTGATCTTTGAATTATTCCATCTCCCTAGTTCTAAAACTTTAGAGTGTATCAGAATCACCTTCTAAAACATAACAAGAAAGGGCAACAGGCAGCAGAGGGAAAGGTTAGTTAGCCTGATGCCTCCTCCAAATGCCACCGGCCTATGTGCCTCTGATGTCATCCGGGTTGCTGAGTCTCATAGGTAGTCTCTTTCTCCTCCTGCACACACTCTCTCCTCTGCCCTTTTTTTTTTTTTAAAGATTTATTTATTTGTGCATACAGAACTGGGGTACAGGCCAGAGGCTCAGGGTGGTGAGAGGCTTCACCAGAGACAGAGCAGGGAGCAGAACAGGCAGATCAACGAAGTACACTGCTGAGGGGAGCAGCCGACGGTTAGGAGAGGTCTGCCACGCCATGTGGTCACCTCCGTGGCAGGCGGGAATGGAACTCATGCGGAAGCGGCTTTAGATTCTCAGTGCTGTGCTTTAACCCGCTGCGCCACGAGGGAGGGCCCTCTGCACCTTTTTGACCTTGCTTTAGCTCTCCTTATCATCTCTGCCCTTCTCCTCTAATCTTTCCAGTCTCTTTCACTTCCAATTTGTTGCTCCATTTCCAACAAATTCTTAGCATAGCCTTTCGCTGAATAAAATTCATCAGATTTCCTCAGATGCTATAAATTCCAAATTTCGTGCCATTCAAGATCTTATAGAGCTGATTGCTGTCTACTTTTCTACTAACCTTATCTTTTACCTTTCCCCACTAGATCATACTTTCTTCCAGCCACATTGAACAGTTTGTTTCCTCAAATATCACAGATTCTTGTGCAAGCCTTGTGGTCTCTGCACATGAGTATCCCTCCACCACTGGGTCAACTTTATTTGCCACTACATGTCTCATCCAGCCACCCTCAGTTCAGGTGTGGCCTTCTCTGGGACACTTGTCTAGGACCCAGGGCTTCCTAGAACTCTAGCCTCAGGATATATATAGCTTGCCACATTGCACCCAGATGCTTTATGTCTTCTGCTGCTTGTTCATCTTCCTCTTGCTTCGCTCTTGCTGCTGGTGCCTAGCACACAGTACATGTTGATAAAGAAAAAAATCTCATAGGGTGTTTGCTCCTTAATAAATCATTTTGCATTTGGGGGCTGAATTTCTTCATCTATGAAGTGCCGATAACAGTAATACCTGGATTAGAGGGTTTTAGAAAGGATGAAGTACATTTTCACATATAGGTTTTCAGATATAATAACATTGTCTCAGGTGTTGAAGGTGTTGAACAAAGACATGCTTCATATTCTAGGAATTTATAGGCTAATTTGGGAGTTGTGATATATGCATAAAAGGTAATATGCAGTGAGTGCCAATGAGTATGAATCTTGCCAATAAAAACTCTATATAGTCTTGGTTGTTTTAATAAATTTCATAAGAATGTGCAATATATTTTTCCTTGGTTTTGCTGGGCTAATAACTATATTTTTTATATGTGTGAAATTACTTTTGCCTGTGATAATGGTTCCATATATTTAAAAGACAAAATTGCTATATAAATCTATCAGCTCATTGAGAGTTCCTGAATCAATATTTTGTATTATATTTCACTTTTTTTGAAATTACTTAGCTAGGAAAAAAATATTAAAATAGTGATGATGATTTTCATAGAAAGTATACATAGTGTTATTTCAATAATTTTTTTGAATGAAAAACTTTGTAAGTCAAAGGATGCTAAACAAATCCATAAAATTATTTATACTTTTTATATACCTTTCATAGAAAAACAGTTTTGGTACCTTCTGTTGCTCCACTAAAAATCTGAATTTTGGTTCATGTACTTGATTCCTATGATGCTTAAAATCTGCAACACACTGTCATCAACTTTCTCTTACTGAATTAATGATGGTATAATGCATGTGATGTTTGATTAGAAACAATCCCAAATTAGTCCTTTCATTATAGATCAAATAGAAACATTAGCTAGTCTTCACAACGATTTGATTTTCTGATGCATATAAAACTGTGCTTTCTACTCAGTCTCTGATATATTTGTCAGTGCTTTCAGATACCTCACTGTCTTGGTTACTACAGCTTTATAGTAAGTTCAAGTGGGTAATGTCTGCCCTCCACCTTTTTTCTCCTTCAGTATTTGGTTCATAATTCTGGGTCTTTTGTCTCATCATCTAAACTTTAGAATCAGTATAGGATTTTCACTGAAATACCAGTGAATCTACAGATCAGATTGAGGCGAACTGACAGCTTGACAATACTAAGTCTCTCTGTACACTGTATGGAATGTATCTCCACTTTTAAATCCTTTTATTCTTTTCATAAGACCTTGTATATATTTTATTACATTTGACTGATTTTTTGGGGGATGTTAATGTATATAATAATGTTTTTTAGTTTTAAGTTCTAATTGTTCACTTGTTGGTATGTTAATATCAGTAATCTGTATTTTATATTTTCTTACTTAACTTTGATAGAAGTTTATCAATTTTATTGATCATTTCAAAGAGCCAGTTTTCAGTTTCATTGATTTTTCTCAATGGACTTTCTGTTTTCAAGTTCAATTTCAGTGATTTATGCTCTAATTTTTCATCTGTTTATTTTGTGTTTATTTTGCCATTCTTTTCCTAACTTGTTGAAATAGAAGCTTAGATTATTGATTTTAGATCTTCTCTTCTAATAATTGAAAGCTATGTATTTCCTGCTAGGCACTGCTTTGCCTTACCATTTGATAAATCATATTTTCATTTCATTTAGTTTTAAGAATTTCTCTTGAAATTATTGTATTAACCCATGTATTTATAAGTGTATTGCTTAATATTCAAGTATTTTGAGGATTTCCATGAATCTCTTATTTATTTCAATTTATTCCATTGTGGTGTCGGAGCATAGTGTATATGATTACTGCTGTTTTAAACCTTCTTTAGTAGAAGAACTTGGGTGTAGCCAGAGGTTTTCAGGGTGAGAGGATTCCCCAGAGACAGAGTGGAGGGCAGGACAGGCAGATTTATTGAAATACATTGCTGAGGGGAGCAGTGGATGAGACGGGAGAGGTCTGCTGTGTCATGTAGTGGTGACAGTGCTGAGACTTAATCAGGACAACCAGGAAGGCTGTTTTTACACTTGTTGAGCTGTGTTTTAGGAGATCTGCTAAATACTAATTGAAGTTTCTGACTGTATTAGTGAATCCCTCTATTTTTCCTTCAAGTTCTATCAGTTTTGATGTTCTACGTATGCTAAAAGCATACGTAGACAGACACATGAGGTTCTAAATTCTTGGAGCAATGACCTCTTTATCATTTTGTAATGACCTTCTTCATCCATGATAATTTTCCTTGCTCTGAAGTGTTCTTTGTTTAAAATCAATATAGCTAGTCAATTTCTTGTGAGCAGTATTGTCACACTTTATTTTTCTCCATTTCTTTAGTTCTAATCTACGTCATTGTGCCTAAAATGAGTATACAGATGGGTCTTATTTATTTAATCTTCTCTGAAAGTTTCTTTTATGGCTATATGTAAACCAGTGAAGTCTAGTGATTATTCACATAACTGGATTATTCTTTACCATATATATTTTTTTTAAAGATTTATTTATTTGTGCATACAGAACTGGGGTACAGGCCAGAGGCTCAGGGGCGGTGAGAGGCTTCACCAGAGACAGAGCGGGGAGCAGAACAGGCAGATCAATGAAGTACACTGCTGAGGGGAGCAGCGGACGGGTCAGGAGAGGTCTGCCACGCCATGTGGTCACCTCCGGGGCAGGCGGGGATCGAACTCATGCGGAAGTGGCTTCAGCTTCTCAGTGCTGTGCTTTAACCCGCTGCGCCACCAGGGAGGGCCCTATTCTTTACCATATTTTTTATAATTGTTGTGGCTTCTAAGACTCTGCTCTAGTGACTATAAATCTGTCAGTCTATTTTTCCAATTTTTACACAGCAGTTTTCTGAGGAATTTTAAAGGAGTTGATGGTTTTAAGTTTGCTCAGTTTTTTTTCTTATATAAGGATGGGAGTAATGACTTTCATGTTCCTTACATGATGGACAGATCAAAATTATTTTTAAATATAACATTGAAAAATTTAATATTGTAAGGCTTTTTAACTGTGGGACATTTCATTGGCCTATCCATATTTCCTACCAGTTTCTATCTTTCTGTTGCTCTCATTTAAACAAATCTCAAGAATGCAGTATAGCAGATCTTAGAAGGGGCCAAAATTCCTGAAGAGATACCACACTACATTAATTTAGATAAGATGCACACATGGTTTATAAGTCATTTCTGAATTGGCTTGATTCTCTCAAAACAATAGCTTTAATTTAAACTGATCATATGAATTTGCCTTCATTTGAAATCCTTCCAATGATCAAGTAAATGATTTGACCACAGGCTTCATGAGCCACTCACTATTATTTCAGAGTTAAGGTTAGCTTAATTAAATAAAAAAAGTGAAAGATATCCTTAATAGATTAAGTGTGAAACCACTTGGTTTGCTTTTTTATTCGTCATACTATTGAAGTCTATTTTCTCAATTATAAAATGATACAGAAAAATTAAAACTTGAAACTATAAACAAGAAAGTAAAAGTAAAATTTTCATGATTATTGAAATGTCTTTAACATTTTCCTTGGAGTAAAGTGGGGAACTGTTTTAATCTAAATTACTGTTGAATTTATACCATGTAATCTCTTGGCATAAGCATATAATTAACTACATGAATCCTTTTTCTTAAAAAGAGTGTATATTACATCTCATTTTGGGAGATGTATACTTTATTATGACTAAATTCAAACAAACAATATCTTTTAATTCTTTCTAAATTGTTTTAGGATCTAGATTCATTCTAAATACGTCTTAAGCTTATATGAAGCTGAATAAAGAAAATATTTCCTATGAAATTAAACAGTCAAATATGAACAATGTGAAAGTTCATAAGCAAAATTTTATTTTGCAATAATTATTTTTGTGATTATGAATATATATATAGCCTGATCCAGGAAGAAAACTAACAGCTGTTCTTTTTAGAAATTCATAACCTATTTACTGTACAGCTCCATAAACCTGCAGCACAATGAAAGAACAACAATAATTTTCTCTACACTGTGAATGGTTATATGAAAGCCAGTGAACTCAGTACATCTGAGTCATGTATGCCAGTATTTCCTCACTTGTCCAGATAATTAAGTGAAATTCACAGTGCTCATGTGAAAAAAGCCGCATCACAACTCTGGTTAATTACTAAACTACAACATACATACACAACATACATATAGATACACAACCCCAGTAGATTTTTTCCTAATGGATGAAGGAACATAACACTAAAATTTATTTTAAAAAATACTTCAAAGAGATTTACTTGATTAATCTGTGGTGACTTTGTGACTTTTTTCTGCATCCTTAAAAAGTTCTTAAAATTATCAGTGGGGCTTCTTCATCTGATTTCATTTATTCTGTCTCATGATTATTTACTGCATGGTTTGGTTCAGTGCTTACATGAACCAAACATGGAAAAATTACTAAAAGAAGAGTGAGTTGTTAAGGATCCTATTTTAGAAGTTGGTGGAAACCCTCAAAACATGTCCTACTTTAGGACATACCCATTTTCTTGTTTTTGAAAACATAATGAATCAATATATTTAAAGTAAAAACAAATAACACAAAGGTACACCTCTTGGAGGAAAAAATCTGATGTTTACCAACAGTTTGGCGCAGGTGAATAGTCAACATTTAAATGATGCAGTCCATAACATGAATCTGTAATGTGTCTATGTCAGGCAGAACTTCGCCACATTTAGGGCAAGAATGAATTGGAATATTCCGTTGTTGCTGCTGCAGCCAGTTTCTATCCTCAGCTCCTGGGAAAAAGCAGTACGTGAAATGTTATTCCATATTGCAGGCAGTTTTGGTGGCTTGATCGTAATAACAGGTGGTCAATTTTGACATTAGTTAAAAGTTTTTTTAAGTTAATTACTTCAGTTTTAATTGAGTTAATATTTGGATGCCCCATCAGTTATTACTATCCTAGTACACCTACCACTGAATCACCCACAACCCATTGTGCTTCCTCCCTTCTTTTTTCTTATCCTTTCTCCTGCCCTCCCTCTCTTGGTACTTCAGTTCTATAGTCAGCTATCAAGGGTTAGTTTTTAAGTCACACTTTTTAATTGATACCAGTGTGAAATGAATACGGGTTTGTTTTGGTTTGTTTTGGTTTGGTCTATATTTTCAGAGGTAGATACTTCTGAGTACTCTGTATAAGAATATAGACACAGAGAAGATAATGGGCAAGAACAGTGCCCATGGGTGTGTGTGAGGGAAATGCATCTGGCCAGAATCTCCACACAGAAAGGATCAAAGGGGACACAGCTGAGGAGTTGGAAAAATTATTAAAAGTTATTCAGGCAAGTGAGGAAAAGTATTGATGATAATATACCTTGTCATTTCTCCCAATTTTGGAGTTGGACTGAGGTTCAAATCTGAATTAATGCTCAAAATAAGCCTGGACTCTAGGTACATCCCATGCTTGTAAACTGTGGCCAGTGCCAAAAATAACTTCTGGCTCCAAGTGCATCTCCTTCATCTGACTTTCCTGAGCCAAAATAAACCATCTGGATTGTTCAGTCTCCATCCATGTCTCTACATTTCATTCAACACCAAAATGTTTGTTGTTGGAGGAAGATAGTAGATGTAACCTCTAACATGGCTATTTGCTTCTGAGTACTTTTGTTGACTAACATGCAAGGCTTTATACAGAGAAATTTATACATTATTTATACAGATAATCTGTGTTCAGCAAAATTTAGAAGCACTTTGGATAGCAATACTAATCACAAGGCATGACATCTGAAACAGAGAACTTTCTAATGGTTTTTATTGTTCTAAAGGGTCTAGCTATTGTCCTAGATCTTTTAACTTTATTTTGATCTTTAGATTTTATTTTTCACATCTATCATCAAAGATAGTATTTCTTTTGACTTTATTTTGATCTTTAGATTTTATTTTTCATATCTGTCATCAAGGATAATTTTTCCCTTTCAGTGATGTATTATATGACAATGATTATAAATTACACAGTACTCGTAGAGTATTAAAACCATGATAAACTCAGTAGCATCCTTCTAACAAATGTTATGATGCCTTCACTCGAGGAATTAAAATTTGGATGCAATACATAATTAAATGACTATCTGTTACAATCATTGCCAGAATCAGATAGCCTTGGGCTTCATGTACAGTTATGCCCCAAATAGCTTTGCTATCCTGGGTTATTTAATTCTGGCTTCTGTAAAATGGCAATAGTACTTCATGTCATTTTGTGAAGATCGAATTAGAAAATGTACAGAAAGTGACCAACATGGCACCTGCACACAGCCATCTCTCAATGAGTGGTAACATTATTATATACCTCTAGGTAGTCGGGGAAGACATGCACTCTTAGGAAATGTATTTAGTAGAGCACTTAAATACATATTTATAAGATGTAAACTATAAAATAGCAGGTAAGTACTAAAAAGTACTTTAGAAATTTAGGATGGAAAAGTCACATTCTGTTCGGATTTTGTCAGTGGGAGTTGAGATGGAATTTAAAGATAGGTAAGAATTCACTAGAAAGGGAGTGGAGGAAGGCTGGCGTATAATGAGGGAAAGGCACATGAGGAAGGCTGCCACATGAAAAAGTCTGGGTGGGTATACAGGCCTAGGACAAATATAAGGAGTAGGGCATGATTCAGCTGGTTAATTTCTTCAGGGAAAGAGAGTGAGAAAAGGTTAACAGCTTGGCTATGCCAGGCCAGTGAAGAGTCTGGTGTGGATTTAGTAGGTGATGGATGGAAGTCAGGATACTGTGGAAATAGACTGATAGTACTATTTTTGTTATTTGTTTTTTAGTGCTATGTTTTTGATAGTTTTATTTGGAATTCATTGTTTAGGATAGTGTAGAATTTTTATAGCATCTTCTTTGGAAAATAGTTACTCCCTAAAATGACTCACCTCTTTGAACAAGATAAGCTTGCTGGTCGGAGTCACTGGTTCTTGCTCCATGGCGGCTCTGCATTTCCATCAAGGACTGCCTACTGGGATGAAAAGCAACACTATATGTGATGTTCTAAAACCCTGAAATATGACAACATTAAGCACACAGTCAATAGAAGTAGGAGAGGGAAAGAGCTGAATTAAAATGTTGAGGTTAAAAAAACAAAATTTGAGACTAATCTGAATTTTAAATATTACTGGCACTAGGGTAACATGTAGTAAAAGTAAATAACTATTATGATAAAGAAAATCAATTAGAAAAATATAACCTGCTTCTAAAATAAGACTTCAGATTACACAGAAGTAATTAAATCTGCTTACATATATAGAGCTCAAAATCACAATGTATGTAAAGTAAGTTTCAGAATAGTATCTACAATGATCATTTTGTAAGTTAAGCAAAGAGAAGCTATCTTGTTTTAGGATATTATATTGATGTATGTCTATAAAACAGATGAGCATGCTACCCACTGAACTCTAGCAACATGAGGGAGGGAAGAATGAATATAATGTGGGAACAAAGGAGACTTCAAGTTCATCTATTTAATAAAAATATCCTTAAAGCAAATAAATGGTAGCAACCATAAATTCTGGATGGGGTGCATATTGGTATGTGTTTTATTTTCTGCATTTTCATATATTTAAAATATTTCTCAAAATTAACATTTAAAAATGTATTTTTTAGCAGTATTTAACACTAGGTATTAAAACACTAGGACTATTTCATATCTGCAAAGGGTACGATATGACATAAGAGCATATGATATCATGTTTTTACAACTTTTGTAAAGAAAAAGAGCTTAATCATCCTCTGAGATGCAAATTTGTAAAGTGTTCTATATACTGTGGGTGTGAAACAAATGGTGAGAATTTGAATTGGTCCTTCTTATTATAGTATTGAAATTAGGTCTACTTAATTTATCAAATCAAGTACATGCCATGACTTCATGCACCTGTCAGCAAACAATGTAATATCTGATGTAAAAAGAAAAAACTCTGCCAAATGTTGCTGTGAGCCACTCTACATGACAGGAACATGGCCTAATGATGTGAACTGAGAGTGGCTCTTACTGCTCCTGTTGGGAAACATAGTTGAGAGGTCACCACTCCACAGCCCATGCTGTGCTCTAGTCTCTCCTCTCTTTATTCACCTGCCTCCATCTTCAAAAGCATTGTTTTCTTTCAACAAAATTGCCAGCTGCAATGCCAATTGCTCTTTTTCTTCATGAATCTTCTCTCTTGCAGCTCTTTCAGCATGAAAATCAGAACAGTAAACCTCCATCTGTTAGAGGGGAAAAAGGAGACAGAAGTTACCACTTCACTGAATGTGAATCTCTACAGCTCACTGGTTGATATGGTGAATGGGAGCACTGCGCCCTGACAGACCTTATAAGTGACAGGTACGTGCTCCTGCTAGAAACCAGTGTGTGTGTAAAATGTCAAGTTGATTATAAAATTTACATGAGTATGAAAAAGGGGAGGAAAACCTAAGGTGCTTTTGAAGCATATCAGGGAGGTAGGAAGATTTACTGTACCACATATCAAAATTCTTGATGCTTTTCTTTTTAAAAGTTTTATTTATTTATCATACAGAACTGAGGTACAGGCCAGAGGTGCAGGTGCAGTGAGAGGATTCACCAGAATGAGTGGGAAGCAGAACAGGCAGACTGACGAAATAACCTGCTGAGGGGAGCAGCAGGCAAGACAGGAGAGGTCTGCCGTGCCATGTGGATCACCTCTGGGGCAGGATTAAATTCACACTTGGAAGTGGCCTCAGCCAGCTTTGCAGTGCTGAGGTTTAACTTGCTGCACCCCCAGGGAGGGGCAGCCCCTGATGCTTTATAGCATATCAACACAGTAGTGCATCAAAGCCAGGACCATAAATAGCTTGAAAAAACTTATGTATTAGTGAAAAAATATAAAATAAAAAAAGCATATTTTGAACACCATCATTTTCCCATTTGAGGGTAAAATCAGGGTGTCCTCATGCAGCTCATTTTCAGAATGAAACTGACCTGTGCCCTCAGGACTGCCATGGTCTCCAGGTCTTCCTCCTGTTTTGCGATGATCTGTTTCATCTCATCCATTTGCAGCTGCTTGGAAGCCAGGGCCTTCTCTGCCAATTCCAGCTTTTCATTTAATTCCTGCAGCACCACCTTATCCACTTTTTCTGACTGAAAAGACAAATTTAGTCTAGTAATTTGAAATAATTCAACCTACCTTAATAAAATGTTAGGTGAAGATTTATTTCTTTAAATGGGTAGCTCTAAACTGTTCTTTTAATTAGCAATTATAACTTATAGCTTGCATGTAACTTCCTAAATTATAACACTAACTTTAAAGATCCACTAAAAAATAAGAGAAATAATAATAAACCCCAATCTCAATGAGGTTGTAACCTGCTGATATTACTATTTTCCACTCACGTTACTCTCACTTGGTGAAGTCAGTGAAAACGAAGAAATGTGTATTTAAAATAAAAAATATACTAGGTCCTAGAGAGGAAAATGTATACTTAAAAAAGTGACAAAGGAAAATTATAAGGAAATAATTCAAAGACCCCTTCTACTTCAAAGCTTCCTTGTTTTGATTTATTTATTCCAGCTTTTGTAAGACATGGCTGACAAAATTATAGATATTTAAAGTCTACATGATGACTTATTATACATACACACTGTGTAAGAATTCCCCTTGTCAGGTTAAATGAAGCATCCAACACCTCATATATCCATGACCTTTTAATTATCACAGCATGCTGGGCATTACTGAAAGGCTGCACCTAGTTCTCTGACAACAGACAAGCAAGCCTTGCACTTCCCAAGCAACAGACAAACCCTTTGGCCCCAGCTACTGGGCTCACTGTGTATGTCACATAGTAAACCTTCAGGTCTCCTTCAAACTCACCATCAAAAATGCTAAAAACTCCCTGATGGTCAGACATCAATACCACCTACGTATACAAAATGCACTATATTCCTGTGGAACATCAGATATTATAATATTTAAACACAAGAAATCAATTACAAACTGAAAAACCTCCTTTGAAACAAGATTTAAGATTAAGGCAACTATATATAAAATGCTCACAGTTTGGGTTACTACTAGGCTGTGGAAGTGACTTCTTTTTCTATGAGTACCTCTTTTAGTTCCTCTATTGTTTTCATTCATAACTAGCATGTGAAAGTAATTTTTTTCCTATAAGTACCTCTTTCCTTTTTAGTTCCTCAATTGTTTTCAATGAATTATTGTATTCCTGGAGAAGGTTGTTGTGTGTCAGTTGTAGAGTGGCCAATTTAGACCTATTAAAAAAGAAATTAAAAAATGGAATCTTGTGGAAAATATCATAGAAACTTAAAGTCTGGTCTCCCAACATTCTTCATGATTGCAAGATAGCAAACTCTCATCTCTCCTACTTTTATCATCTTATCACCTACTAGCATTTCTTAATTTCAAGGAAAACTGTTTTTCAAAAAGTCAAGAGACTAATTTCCATGATTTTGTTACATTAAAACTGAATTTGTTTCTCCTCAGAAAAGTCTCTTAGTATGCTTTAAAATAAAGGAAAAAATTTTAGTTTATTCTCAAGATGTGATTTCAATCTTTATAAAAGAGCCATCCTGCTTCTTTTAGTAAATAGCTACTCGATCTAGGCATACTCACTTTTCATCTTCTGTTTTAGCTTGCTCCATTTTGATTTCTGATCGCATGCTTTCTACTTGTAGCTCTAACTTTTTATTATTATAGACAAGTTCTTGCTTTTCATTCAATTCTGATGGAGTTGCAGAATTTTTCCTTTCAAGGGTCTGACATCTAAGAAAGATCAAAATGCATGAGTATAAATAATGCTCCTTCATTCCTCAGTGACTCTTAAATAAATCCAAAGATTATGGGAACTTACAAAGAATATTAGCATTGCATTTTTTTTAAAGATTTATTTATTTATTCATATAGAACTGGGGTACAGGCCAGAGATGTGGAGGGTGAGAGGATTCACCAGAGACAGAGCAGGGAGCAGAACAGGCAGATCAACAAAGTACACTGCTGAGGGGAGCAGCGGGTGGGTCAGGAGAGGTCTGCGGCGCCATGTGGTCACCTCCCGGGCAGGCGGGAATCGAACTCATGCGGGAAGTGGCTTAAGCTTCTCAGTGCTGTGCTTTAACCCGCTGCGCCACAAGGGAGGGCCAGCATTGCATTTTTAAAGGATTTAACAGTACAAAGCAAAATATTTTTCCTCCTTGTTTCTTTACTGGACTTAGCAATAATTCCAAATCCTTATGCCTAAATCACAGGAGCTACTGCTCACCTGAGTGACTGATTTAAATAGTCATATAAATATGTTTTTTTTTTTATTTTAAGATATAGACTGCAATACTAACTGGTTAAAACTGCTTCTCACATAGTGATCCATGAGCATCTTTACTATTTCAAAAGTTTATGGGTTTTGTTAAGCTCCAAGATTATGACTTCTAACAAAGATTCAATAGCAGAAAAGGAAGTACTCTAAGTCTTCTTAAAGGCCAGAAAGACAATTTCAATATAATAATAGCAAATATGAATCAATTATAGCCAGGTGCAAGATACTAATGCCAAACATATTAAACATTTTCTCATTTAATATGACATTATGAAATGGGAATTATGACAAACATTTTATAAATGATAAAACTGGAGCTCAGAGAGGGTAAGTTGCTTGCCCAAAGCATTAGCACGAATAGGCTCTATCAGGTACTATAATACTGTACAGACAGCCATGGTAAGTGAGATTCTAAGGAAACATAAACTTGTGTATTGTGCTGGAAATGTGTTCGCGAATAAATTAAAAAGAATATCAGCTTAGCTTTCTGAAGTTTGGGGGGATATCTTATATCCAGAGATACAAGCAAAAACAGAACTCTCAATTTATATGTTAGCCTTCACAATTGATTGAAAAAAAAATATATATATATATATATATTTTTTTTTGCTAAATAAAACTCACTGGAGTTCTTATACTTTACAGTTTCTTTTATGTTTTTTTCAAATCAATGTTGTCAGCCCTGGGAACACATAGGAAATCTGGCTCACAGCGCTTTACAGGTCCTTACAAAACTTAGTAAATAACCCTAACAAGCAGAGCCAAAGTCCCAAGGGCCCCACTGGCCCATGTTACTGCAAACAATTCATATCTTAACCTGAATATTGGTATTATATGAATTTATTTTTTAATCAGGTCTATTTTCCTTTTAGTTTGTAACAAAGTAAGAAAACTAAGCTTTTACATATTATGTAAAAATGTACATTTTTCAAAGGAGACTAAAATTCATTGCTTATTCTTACTTTTCTTGAAGTCTCTTCTTTATTAGCTCAGCTTCACTGAGTTTTGTGTGAGCCTCCTGAAGCTCCTTAAGCAGGTTTGTCACCTGAAGGTTCAACATTTCTACTTCACTTCCAACCTGTCACACAGGAAATCCCAAATACATATATGTGATTCTCATCAGAGATCACTGATAGAGAAATACTATCAAAATAAACAGTAGTTAACATGAAAGTTATTTCTGCATTTCTAAAACAAATAAAACATCACAGAACTTGAACCCATCTCTTACATTAGTTTCCTTGAATAGCACAACATCAATCTTAGAATATTAGTACCCACACTTTCTATGTCTTTCTCCTCTTCTTTCTCTTTTTCTGTGCTTCCTTCAGTCTGGGTTTCAATCTCAGAACGATCATTACCCTTTTTTTCAAAATATGAAACTCTGAAAATTACAGATAGTAGAAAAGTTACTTTCCCTTTGACTCCCAAGAGGAATACCAATTGCAGAAGCACTAAAAATAAAATTGTTCAAACTTTGAATAAAGGATCAGGGGTTTTCAAAATCTCTTTGTAGTCATTATATTAGCTCTGGTTTTGTTTTACATCCTAAAATTGGCTAGAATTTATATGAGATGAGTGCATATGGCAGTAAAAAATAGGCATGACTCATTTTGAACATTGAAAACCCTCTCTCTTTTCATGTAATTGTAATATACAGGAATATTTTTTAAGTTTGTGTTTTTGTGCATGTATACATGTATATGTATGTGTATTACATGAATATTTGTGTTCCTTTATAAGGATTTAAAAGAGAAGGGAAGACTTTTTCATTTTGGAATCATTTAATTTTACAAGTGCCTGAAAACAATGCAGTAGCAATCTTAAACCAAATCATAAGCACAGAAAAGCCATCCCAATACAAATACAACAAATATTCAAAGGTGGGAGATAGAATATAGGTGTATATATGTCCAAGCCCCACTAATATTCTTAAAAAGCTATATACCTGTGAGAACAAAGAGAAGGAACCAGAAAATAACAGCAAGGAAATCTGGGGAGCATATGTATGAGTGGGAGCTGAGTTGGCAGCATCAGAAGGCTAGATCTGAAGGCAACATTAGGTAGAGGCAGAGCAGGGAATGCCAAGATGTAACCCAGTTCACACTGTGGCAACACAGTGACACCAGGCACCTCTGGCAGTGGTGATGGAGTCAGGACCCGTTAAAAGACTCGGAGATCATACAATAGAGACTTTAACTAGTGTGGAGGACTTGGGTTCCCTATGAAAAGAGAGGATCTTATACAATACACTGAGAGCTTCACCTTCTTTTCCTATTTATGTCAAGAAGCCTGGCATCCAGAAAAGAACATTCCAGCAGGAGCCCAGCCAGAAGAGTCTCCTCTGGTGAACATGACCAGGGTGAGGGGAAAGATCTAGTTTCTGACATGGGGCTTCCCTAAGGAAGAATCCCAGAGAGATCTCCCCACCCTTAAATCTAATCAACCAACCAAATTACCAGATATTTGAAATAAACCTTAAAATGAAACAGAAAACAGAGGGAAAAATAAAGAACTTAATAATATTAGAACATGCCAGCCCTCCCCCCACCTGCCAAATTTTTAAAAGGAAGCACACTACAACTGAGAAAATGGAAAATAACAAAAAAATCCCAACAAAGCAACCACCATTACTCCCCCCAAAAGGATGATGAAAGTTGTCCAACTCTATCAAAAGCAGAATGGGGAAAAGGAGAAGACAGAGTTCGGAAATTAGAGGCCTGACCCAGGAGATCAATTCAAAATAAGAGTAGTGCTAGAAAAAGAGCGCAGGGAAGAGTTGAAAGTAAGCAATTATCTAAATTAATTCAAGGTCACTTTTCAAGAACTGAAAGGCGTGAGTTTGTAGGATTGAAGAGCCCAAGACTGTCCAGAACAAATGACTGAAAACAAACTCACCACAAAGCACACCTGAAATTTCAGAATACTTGGAACAAAGCAAAGAGCCTTCAGGGAGTAGGAAAAAAACCAAAGAAGCTTGATCCCAAAGATTAAGAATGACAGTGGATTTCTTAGCAATAACACCACACCAGAAGCTAGATACAGTGAGGTAATGCTTTATTTTCAATTTTTGGCAGGTAAATTATAGTCAATGCAGAATTTTATGTTCAGCCAAACTATCCATTATATTTAAAGGGGGTAAAGGAAACAGGCTTCCCCAAGATATTCAGAACACTTGCTCCCAAGACCTGCTACTCTGGCATGTGGTCAAGTGCAAAAGTGCTGCTCAGACCGTCACATTGGATTGTTTTAAGTTGAGATCAGTTGAGGCCCTATATCATCCTACAGGCTCATAGGAAGCTTCTTACTACTCCCTTACTGACCTTGGAGAATCAAGATGGGGGTATTCCCAGAACTATACACAATGCCAAAAGTCCAAGTTACAAAGGGAAAGAAAGATAAATTGGACAAAATGAAAATAATAAATTTTGTGCTGCAAATGATACCATCAGGATGGGGAGATTTGCAAATCATATATCTCACAAATAAATTGTATCTAAAATATATTATGAACTCCTATAATTCAATAATAAAAAGATGATCTATTTTTTTTAAAAGGCAAAGGATTTGAATAGATATTAGTTAAGGAAAATATATGTGGTCAATATTCAAAATTATTAATTACTAAGGAAATAAAATAAAAATCTCATTTTTATATGTGTATACTAGAACCAAGAAGACAGGCAATAATAACAAGTGTGCTGGTATAGAAGTGGTGGAAATAGAACCCTCAAACTTTACTGGTGGGAATTTAAGATGATACAGAATCTGTGGAAATCAGTTTGGTAGTACACAAAATATAAAACAGAATTGCCATATGATTCATCAGCAGTACTCCCAAGTATATATTCCAGAGAATTTTAAAAATAGGTCCACACAAGAAAATGTGCATGAATATTCAGGGAAAACATATTCATAATAAGCAAAAAGTGGAAACAACACAAATACTCACCAATGAATGAGTAAACAAAATCACAATGGAATAATATATGGTAACAAAAAGGAGCAAAGAATTAACATACATGTTAAAATCTCAAATACATTACTCTGAGTAAAAAAAGTCAAGCACAGAAGACCATGTATAATATGAGGCCATTTTGAAATATCCAACATAGACTATTCTATACAATATCCAATATAGACTATTCTATAGAATAGGAGGAATGGCGAACAATTGCTCATCGGTATGAGTTTCTTATTTGAGAGAAAAGTGCTCTTTTATATTGTGGTAATGGTTTAAAAAAATTGCAAATCTTTGAAATGGATGGTTTATATCTTAATTATATCTGAAAAAAGTTAAAAAAAAACAGTGTGCATAGTTAAGTCATGTACCCCATACCTTTCTTTGGCTTCCTTGAGTGCAGTTTCAAGTCTCTCCACCTTCTCATTTCCTTCTCTCAGACAAAGCAGGAGCTGGCTCACAGTTAATTCTTCAAATTCCACGTAATTCCTGTTATCTTTTGCAACAGTGCTCCTACATTGAGACAGTGAAAAGATTAAAGGTTTTCATAAGAAAATGAAGTCTAATTGTAGCATAAAGGAACTGCTTTCGAGAACATTCTCCAATTCTCATTTAATGACTAGACACAATTCTCATTTAATGCTGGTCTTTGGAGACCCAGGGCAACATATCTCAGTGCTTTCTGGTGAAGGAGTGGGGATCATTGGATAGGTTTGCCTCATACTGCATAACTCATTTCCTCTAACGTGTGTCCACAACCCCAGACCACAGGACCCACAGAAACAGGGGAGCAAAGGTAGCCCTCATTTTCAGGGTCTGGCTCTTCTAGAGAACTGGATGGCAGCAGTCAGACAAGGCCCCCAGCATGTGTGGTGTGCCTGTGGTGGCCTGCAGACCACTGGTTTTCCTCCACCCTGAAGAAAGCCATCACATTCTCAAAGCTGTAGAAGAAAATCGATTTTGGTTTCAAATAACTAGAGCAGAGAAATGCAGGCATTGTTGGTATGTCAAATATTGTTCTTCTTTTCAAATATGATTAAATCGAGAGGTTATTTCAATGACAATCAAACAAAACCAGAACCCTCAGGCTACCAGGACTAAACATTCAGGATGCTGCTCGTGCTGCTGACAGGAAGCTGCCCTTTTAGTATAATCTACTCAAGTTTAAATATTTAATAAAGAGCCAGAATTACATCCTGGTTCCCTAACTCCACACACCAAACCTAGAAAACCACTTCTCTCTCCTCATGATATTTTCAAACAGGGGAAAGAAGTTGCTAAAAAAAACAGTGTGGCTAAAAAGAAGAAGTGGTGTTTGTAGGTGGCTGTAAATGAGGAAGAGATGGCTGGGAAACTTCAAACAGGTCTTTCCTCCTTCTCTATACTTCTAGGAAAGCCTTTTGATATTACTAAAAGGAACTGGGAGAAAGGTGAGGAATAACTTTCACTTATGCCAGTGTTCTATCTGCTGAAAGAATATTATTGAATACCTATTTTCTCTCTTTATCCAAGGGTTTGGGAGTGTAATTAAAAACAATAATAACCCATTTTCCCATGTTTTTGTAAGTCTTTCTCTATATTGATTCACCAAGTTAAAGATTTAAAAAACACAAGACAGAAGAGACTCTGTGAGAAATATCCATAAAATCTCTTTTAAACAGATTTTTAAGAGAAAGAAGCTAACAGTCCACCAGCCTGAACATTACTGGATATCATCAATCTCCCTTTTCCGAGTCCCCCACCATTTAAGATCTCTGTGTCCTAATATTTACTTGTGACAGGCCAACTTGGGACTCTGTGGGTAAGGTTTTCTGGGCACTTTTTAGAAACATTCAATGACTGAGCAATAACCGTACTGGTAGAAAAGATTCAAATATTAGCCACCTTTGCTTGCATGAGGAATGAACACGGCAGAGAAAACGGAAACATCTCTTTTATCAAGATAGGCAGCATGGTTCAGGTCAAACAGCACTAGCAGACAAGTTAGGAAACATGACTCTTCAAGTTGAAAATCAGAATGTTTTCAAGTCTGATCTTATGGAGGTAAAACACAACTTGAAATAGAGTGCTCGGGGCTAGCTGGCATGCAGAGGCACCAAACATGTTTATTCTCTGCCAGTTTGGGTTGCAACACTAAAAGGCATTCCAACTGAAGATTCTTGAATGGTCCTAGTTTAAATTAGTAAGTGGCTGTTTGACCTACAGTAGTAAGTCGAAAGGGATAGTCTATCCCAACCAGTCTGTCCCAGAGCCCTATTCTAGCTTCACATACGTGTCATTGGACTCAGTTCTTGTGGATCCAGGACTAGTTTTGATTTCTGTCATTGCCACATCAGCTTCTCCTTCCTGAAAAAAGAAGAAATAAGAGGAATTTAACACTACTTCTACAAGACAAACCCTTTATCAAAAGAGAAAAAAGAGAAGATCAAGAATTTTGATGGTGTGCAACCCAAGGAACCTACCAACATTTAGATGTGAAATGTCTTAATTCAGTCACTCAAATGGAATGGAAATATATCCCTCCCTCACCCTGCCCACCTGTCAGTCAGGAATATAAATATCTAGGCAAAGGTGAAAGTCCTTACCTCTTATTCAGCACAGTCAATCTGACTCTGTAAACATGAAAGCTTATCTCTCTTGCTCTCCTGGGCAGTTCCCCTCTTTCCCAGCTTAAGGTCACACACAGTGAACAATTATCCATACCTTTCCCAGACTTCCTTTAAAATGCAAAGTGCCAGAATTTGCTAAAGCAAAGTTGAAAAGCAATTCTCTGTAGGGGAGGCTCACGAAGGACAGTGAATTTCGTGACCATCTTGGAAAATTTAGGAAACAAGAAAACTAAGACCATTTACATGATATGAAAGACATATAAAGGGAAAATCTTTTAAAAATACACAAGACTGTTCTGGATAATTTTGATTATGTACACTCTTCTGAAGTCCTGGGGAATATTTTCCAGTTCACCGAAGCATGGCTTGAAAAACGTTTACACTAAAAATAACTAACTCATCAGTGAGGGAGAATATTATGTTAATCATGCACTCTAAAGAGTCTCATTTAGAAACCTGATATGCACTTTGGCTTTCTGACTCTTATCAGAAATTTGCAGAATGCTACAAGTTCTTTGATGAAATCTGTATATCATAATCCGTGGTTATTTGCAGAAAAGAGTACTCTAGCAAAATGTCAGTCTTTTTTTCCTGGAAATGCCAAAATTTTCAACTCGCTTTTTAGTTTACTTTAATTATTAATATGTCTAAAATTTATTAAGGGGCATAGATAGCAAGATTATTAAGAGCCATTTTCCAGCCAGCAAGTGAATCAATAAAGTCACACAGATATTTCAAACAGTTTAACAGCTATTTTTTAAAGTAGCTCCCCAAACCCTCTGTCCCACTTATCTACAAGATACATTATTTTTTCTTTCAGAAACACTATTTATTTCCTTTCCTATACAGATACCTACTTTGACAAAGCTAAAATGACAATGTGCATTACAAAAGATTTTATTCCCTCACTAGTCAGTCTGGTTCAGTAGCAATGAAAAGCCTCTCAGTGGTTATACCTGCACACCTGGTATCGTAGGTACAGTCCTGAACTTCACACGTGCCTAGGATAGATAGGCACATACCACTGTGCTTAGCTCACTTCCCCGTGGGATACACTGTGGGTTACTCTTCATTGTGGTTGTTGACACACCAGCTTCAGTCTCTGTTCTCTGGATAGCTGCCTATTCCCTCCAGCAAGAACGGGAAGCCAAAATAATACCTCAACTTACAAAAAAGCACTCCTGCTCTTGCTTTCCTCCACCAATTTTTTTTTCCTTTTTAAAAAAAATTTATAATAGTTTATTTTTTCATATTTTTGTGCATTTTCCATCTCAGTTGCAATCCCCTTGGGTTTCCCATCACCAAATAACCCATGTGTCATCACCATAGTCCAGTGCATTTCCCTCCCCACACTGTTTTTGATCCCATTCTCCACTCCACCCCAAAAAATGTCTCTGGTATATAGCTGTTTGTCATTATCATTATTTTCTCGCCTGTTCTGTTATATTCCTGCTATGAGAGAAACCATCCAGTATTTTTCCTTTTCTTTCTGGCTTATTTCACTAAGCGTGATCTTTTCCAGCTCCATCCATGTTGCTGCAAAAGACATGTGTTTCTTTTTTTTTGGTTGCTGAGTAATATTCCATTGTGTATATGTACCATATCTTTTTAATCCAGTCATCCATTTTTGGGCATTTGGGCTGGTTCCATGTCTTTCCTATTGTGAATAAAGCAGCAATAAACATGGGGGTCCTCCACCAATTTTTTAATGGTTCTCATAACACTTGGTTTGAAAAGAGGATCTGTTCACTGCATTAATCACCATTCTGCTCCCTTAAGTGACATGCTGAACACTGCTTTGAGGCCTAGTCTAAAAATGTTTGCTTTTTATGTCAGCTACAAAATGTCTGATTTGCAGGACATATTGGGGGGAGGGGTTGCAAGGGAAAGCAGTTCTATTTCAGCTATGATTATTCTTACAAGCAGTATGTTACACTTAAAAAGCAAGAGCCATATTGTCTTTTCTGTGCTGACATTTCCTCACTGTTGAAAGGCAGTGGTAGTATTTGTATCAACTGTGCAGGTGAGGTTTTATAATTTGCTTAAAACCAAAACCATCACACTTACAGCCATCCTAATTTCAACAAAGGAGTCTTCAGAGGGACCACTTGAGTTCAGTTTGAGTTGTAATTCAGATACAATGCCCAGCAGATCTGCTTTTTCTGCTTGCAAGCGTGCCACCTGGGTCTTCAGCTGTTCCATCTCCTGCTCTGTTTCTGTCTTGGTGACCTTGGGGTCCTTAAAATGATGAGGAGCAAAGTGAGTTAATGAGCAGACTGAGGACCTGGTCATCAAACTTGAGAGTCCCCACACCCACCAGGAGGGCAATTGCGCTCTACAATAGAAAATTCTAGCTTTTACTTGGCAGCTTATTTTGATATAACATTTAAGATGAAAGTTTTCAATCACTGAATAGCGCTCCATTGGGTATGTTTACCACACAAAACTGGACGGGACAAGGCTAAGTGAAATAAGTCAGAAGGAGAAAGACAAATAGTGGATGGTTTCACTTATATGTGGATTAGAGAAAAATATAAAACCAAAGGGTCAGATAAAAATAAAGCAATGACAAACCCCTGTCATCTGACTACAAAACGAGGAAACAGAAAGGGAATAGGGAGGGGTAGTACCAGTGGAGGGAAGGGGCCCAATGGAGCATTGCAGAAGATTATGGGTGGCAAGCACAGTGTGAAAACATGTACTTGTAAAGGTTTGAGTCTCTAATATCTAAAAAACAAATAGAATGATATAAATCGACTTTACCTTAGTTTAAATTATTTGTACCCATCTCTTACCACTTTTGAACACTTAACCTTTGATGTTCAGGCAGCAACACAGTTTCTCTGTGATGTTGTGCACCTATGTAGTGTCTCTATCCTACTGTCCTAGAAATCTGCCCAGGTTGATAAGCCCTGCTATAATCCAGAAGGAAAGTCTATCTAAGAACCTTTGCCTAGCAATTTGCAGTTTAATGTTAAAAAATACTCTCTAGCGATAAAGCATAAATGAGTTAAGCAGGACAGAAACATTAATTCCTTAGCCTGAAAGATGAGAAACAGGTCTCCAAAGGAAATTCCTTGCTCCCCTCCCCTGTGAGGCACAGAACACAGGTGAGGTCCTGATGCCAACAAACAGCAGCAGCAAAAACAGGTCAGCAAGAGAGAAAAGTCCAAGGCCTTAAGCTCAACCAGGTCAGGAAGCTGAGGGCCTAGATTGTAACTCACTCAAATAGTCCATGAAACAGTAATTAAAGAGGCAGGAGACAATGTGTGGCTTGGGAGGCACAGGGTTGGGGCACAAGCAGATGCCAATGGTTTTATAGTCATAAGCGTCTCTTTTCCCAAGTACTCCATTCATGTATCAGAAGGACTCATTTCAGAGTCCAGCTAGTTGCTTCCCTCAATTAATTGCATGCATTGAGGGAAGAGGTTCAGCGCTCCAGTTTTCCTCAATTTCTCCCAGGACCGGGACCTTTTAGGAAAACCTACAGCAGACCGTTTGAACAAACTACTTCTGGAAGCTTCCTTCTTAGCTCCAAGGCAATATGTTGAAGTCACCTTTCAGCGCACATCCCAAAAGCCAAGGAAGAAAAACAATGTAAGAATATTTTCTCCAGAGAGTAGAAAAATATTTCTATATCTTATCTGATCATATCTTCTGCATATTCTACTTTAACAATAATTAATGAAAGACTCCATTCAAAGAAGCAATTTAATACTCTGAACTATAAGACAAGCCTAAACATCAGGTGTGATAAATCTTATCAATAAAAACATTCCCAACACAAATACAGATTTGTTAAAGTAGAATATTCCAATTGTCCCATGAACAGTTCATAAGATCACTGACAGAAACGATCATCTTTTTCTTTTTCTTTTTCTTTTTTAAAGATTTATTTATTAATTAATACAGAACTGAGGTACAGGCCAGAGGTGTAGGGGGGTGGTGAGAAGATTCACCAGAGACAAAGTGGGGAGCAGAACAGGCAGATCTACTGAGATACACTGCTGAGGGGAGCAGCGGGCAAGACAGGAGAGGTCTGCTGCATCATGTGGGTCAGCTCCCTGGCCGGGGATCGCACTCATGTTGCAGTGGTTGGGACAGCTTGATAGTACTGAGACTGTAACCCCTGCACCACCAGGGAGGGCCTTAGTGGTTCTTTTCATTATTATCTTTGACCTTTACTCACGTGTGAGCATATCTTCCAGGTTCCGATGAAAACATGCCAGCATTATAGCTTGGTACTTATCAAATTGTTTTTTAAAAGTAAATATAAAATGTGAAGTGAGAAATCTATTTTAGACTGAGAGAAAGAACAAGGTAAAAAATTTAAGTTTGGGGATTAGATTTTTTTAAATCTAATTTACAGCAAAGACATAAACTAAAAACTAACATCTGGATAGGGCCAGGCAGAGTCCTTCTGTACTATCTACAAATACAAAAACACTGTTTCATAACTGCAGTGCTCTTTTGACCAGTCAATAGGGTCAAAACTTTACACATTTCTTTCCCCTAACAGAGATCATTCATGGCTCTTAAAATTGCTACTAATCTTCTCAGCAAGAACACTTTTTCAAGACAATGCAAAACATCAGTCTAGTCTGAATCATGAGAGGTTTGGATATATATATAAGTCTAGACAAATACAGATCTACCACAGATATTAATAAAATCAAATCACACCTTCATTCTGCTCACCTCAAATGAGGTTTTCCCTTTTAGTCTCCCAAGTTGTTCTTTCAATTTTTCATTTTCATGATTCAAAGTCATTAGGCGCTCTTTGGCTTCTTTGCTTTGTGTCTCAAAAAAAAGTCGTTCTTCCTTCTGTTTCTCTGTCCAGGCTGAAAGCTCCTCAAATCGTCCTTTCATAGCTTGATTATTCAGCTTCATAGCTTCTGTATGGGGTTCAGAGTGAGGGTGTCACATACCAGGCACAGGCTTTGACTTGATATATCAAAATCTCCCCCAGACCACTTCACCATGTGGCTCTTTATCTAAAGATGCCACATTTGGCATAAGCCCAAGGGTCAGCTGGAAAAAGTCTGCATTGAGAGGACTAGTATTTGTGTCCAGGCAGGACTAGAAGACTTAACAACACTTCTGGTTCCTTAAAGTCTCCCGAAAATACAATTGATTTGGATACCTCCACAATAGCACAATAGCTATTAATCATCAAAGGACTGAGGCTGGTCTCTCACTCCTGGCTTCCAACACATGTCCTGCTACAAGCAGGGGCTTGAGGTATTAGAATGGTTTCTCTTAACAAGGGTTATATTCAGGACAGTCTATAATAGCAGCCTTTCTTTTTCCTTTTAAATGGGCTCTTTTATACTATTTTCTTATGACATATAAAGTGCATTGTATTCTTATCTGTATCTGAGTATAAGCAATGGAAACAGTTTTAGTCTTGCTGAAGTTCATTTCTGTGCTCTACCCCCAGGGAACCAGATAGAAAGAAGGGATTTGCTCTTAACAAGATTTAACACAAAGGTTAAGTTTATGAAATGCCCAGGATGAGTGCAGAAACATAGGCCCAGGTGCTCCTCACCTTTTAGCTGATGGTTTTCAGTCAATAGCTCTTTCATCTGCTGCAACAGCTCCTCTGGGGTGAACATGTCCAGGCTTGGGTGAGCCAGATTAGGAGGTCCATTTCCAGTGGTGTTGTTAGGGCTGTCCCCCTTTTCTGTCAGGCAGCTGAGTGGTTGGTGGGACATGGTGGTGGGACACAGGTCCTGTGGCAAAATTACAAAGTGAGAACACAGCTGTTCCCCCCTCTGCAAGGGGTCCCTATGAGTCCTACAAATCCATCAGCAATTGCTGACATGTATTCCAAATGCTGCTGACCCTCACTGCAGTTACACTGTGCAGTTTTGATTTTTAAACAAAGACATCTATCATAGTGTCTGGGTTCGAAATAGCTTAAATATACCACTTCATTTTGTCGAAGGATCTATGTGGACATAAATAAATTAGATGAATGTATTCTAATGCTACTTCTGTATAACCTAACACTGGGGCAAAAAGAAATCTCTTCTGATGACAACCTGCACACTATGGACAAAGCTTTCCTTTTGCACTTCATAAAGAAGATAAGCCTTTTCATGAAGAACCACAGTCTCTGGATCAGTCACTGGAAGACAGAAGCAAGAGAAGTGCACTCTCTCTGATCTATAAGTGGATCATAACACCTATGAGTGCTCTTGCATTAAAATGCAACCAACATGGGGAGCAGAGCAGAACAGGGTTACTTTCCTACTCACCAGGCGGCAAGCACTCTCCTGCTCACCTGTGACTATGCAGGTGCCTCTCTTTTTTCTCCTTTTCCTAATAAACCTTTTAAAACATTTAAAAAGAAAGAAAGAAAAAGGAGGCAAACTGGCCTTTCTAGAAGTTCCCTGGAACCTGGTGACCTCCTAGATGACCTGACCTGAGATACTGCCGCCTGGCTTTTTCCTAGGGCGACCAGCACAAGAAAGGGGTTGTTGTGAAATTCTTTAATGAGGTTGGCCACTCAGTGAAGTGAAATACATTGATAAAGCATAAAATTAGAGTCTGAGCCCTCTGTGAGTATATGCATTTCACCTATCCTAATTTATCTAGAAAAGAGGTATAATGCTGAAGTAGGCTATTTTTTCATATAAAGTTGGCTGGAAGAGATTACTTTCATTTTCTCCAATAATATAATTTAGATCATTTTGGGTAAAACAATTTGAAGAAGGCCAACTTCTGACTTTTCATAAGATTCATTTTTGCAGTGTGATATTGATGCTAACATTTCATAAAAGTGAATTTTTATTAATAGTGTTTCTGTATATTTTGCAGATGGATACTAAATTTCTAAGTAACCAAAGCAAGAATCCTTGTAATATGTTTTATTTATCAACATTAAATTTCCTCAGCTATTCAGTGACTTAAATGGAAACACTAAACAGATTTTATGTTTTAGGAATCTGATTCTGGAGTTGAGTTTGGTTTCCTTTTACTATATACACTCATCTCTCAATAATTTTTCCAATAGAGGTAGAAGGGTAGGAAAGGGGGAATTAAAAAGGGGAGGAGCAAAAGAGAGATTTTACCCTTGAAAAATTTCAAAGATCTCTTTCCTTTGAACCTTAACCGAGCTGATGGCACATGGGTGAATTGGTGGTGGAAAAGTCCACAGGGATTGCAACTGAGTTGAAAAATGCACAAAATGAAGAATAATGTAAAATAAATAAATACATTTTATAATAAAAATAAATAAATAAACCTTCTCCACGCCTTTAGACATAACCATAATGAGGTAAAAATTGGTTCTTGTTGGCCCTCCCTGGTGGCGCAGTGGGTTAAAGCACTGCACTGAGAAGCTAAAGCCACTTCCGCATGAGTTTGAATCCCGCCTGCCCTGGAGGAGACCACATGG